GTCACATGCTTTAGTTCTCTTAAATTAGTGTATTAATGATTGATTCTACAGGATATCCAGATGGATATGCAGAATCCTCTTTTAGTGTATTGGAAATTGCTTCACACCTGTCGTTTCTAATTAGACAGTGGGAAAGGGGGCAGCAGAAGGGAGAAGAGTTTCGGCAAATAAGGAGAAGGGAGACACGGAGCTACTATCAATGAAATGCATGACAGTTTAGCCCAGCAAGAAAGCTCCTCTTCCTACTGCACGCTTCCCCCGGAGCACGGGGAGAGGAGCTTTATATGTCCAGGCCCAGACGTGGTCCTCTGGAGACCTGTAAAATGAGGAAGCAGTCCCTTACCTAGCACGGTCAGGTGGTACGTCTTGTGGAAATTCCCTTCTGTTGCTACTACTTCGCAGGTGTAATTTCCCTCATGGGCTATTCCCACTTGCCGTATCTCAAGGGCAGGATCCCGATCTGGTCTGCATTTCCAGTTCATGCTGTTGCTGCAGTTTGTTCTGTCTGTCTTGTTCTGATCAGCCCTGTATCCCAAGGTGCAGGGGCCTCCAACCTTGGGGTTTATTTTCCATGTTACCATAGTTATATTTGATTTGGGAGGGCAGGTGAGCACAGAGCTATTACCTACTGTCACTGTCACTTTGTCGTTTCCTGAAGGAGAGAAAGGAGAAGGACGTGTGAGAAGGTGCCCAGGGACGTCACTCATAGCTTTGGAGTTCTGGTCCGTGCTTCACAGAGAAATGTCTGCGCTGTTACACACCAGCTTGAGGCCCTGTCTGTGCTCATCTGCAAATTGTCTGTCATCTTGTATGACAGCTGTGGATAATGGAGCCAGTGGCCTACCACAGCCTACACTCTCAATATTATCAACAAATTTCCCAGCAGGGCTCATCTTAGTGGATAAGACAGAAACTGGAGGAAGACCCTACTCCTGCCCATTGTCTTAAGCAGTTCAGCATCTGAATAGTGTGTTTCTATTGGCAAATCCTCCAGTAGGTTGCCACTTACAGGCTGAAATGATAGAAATTTGACTATTGCATTTGACCATATGCTAATGACTTTTCTCTGGGACTGTTGCTACCGATGAAGTAAACAACTTTTACTTCTGCACTCATACAAAATCCAACACTGTGGGCAAAGACCTTGTCTATACCTCTCAGACATGACCACAACATAAATAACAATGGTGGAGATTTATGTAGGAGGAAAGGTTTTTGCCTTATGTCTCAGGGGTGTCTTTTCTTCTTCTGAATCTTTGTGAACATACACATTCACACTATGAGTGTACACAATGTGTACATATGTATACACACTGTGACTGTACTTTTTTTACTGCAGCAATCCCCATAGGGCATGAATGTAAGTCCTGCCCATCTTTGTGCCAGGCATGCAGCTACAAAGGTGTAAAATATTCCCATATCCCTGTGCCTCTCGCTTGCAAGGCTAAGATTCCAGAGAAACTTTTTTCAGTTGACGTATCAACTGTGTTGGCTCTCTAATAGTGAGTATGTCTTGTTCTTGGAAACACATTCTGTTTTTTTCTTTCTATGACACTGACCCTTCTTTTGGGTTTTAAAAGGTGATTCTTGCTTGGAGTCAGGCACGACACCTCCTCTCTTTATCCTTTCGTGATCCATGAACTATGTACTTGAAGCTAGATGTCTGTATGGAAAAGCTTGGATCTAGTCCTCTTGTCCTTTTCGGAAATTACCACATTGGCCATTGAAGGACAGAGCCAGACCACTATTACGGCTCCTCCGTGTGGTGTGTTTGTTCAAGACAAGTTACACCCTCAGGATTGCCTTTAATTTTGGGGGTTTTTTTGCTTATAGGTCCCTGAATTTCTTCTTAGCCAAGGAAGTAATTTGCCCGGGTTTTCTTTTTCCACAGGCTTTCAGGACTGATTCTTTTTTGCACATATTGAAGAAAAGTCATGCTTGCTCTCTTTATATTGTCCAGATTTGGGACCCCTCATCTGCCTGTGTCTTCAGCTGACTCATCCAAGGGGTCAAGTTTTTAACCCCAAGATTCATTTCACTATTTCCTTGACCATTGAAGCCTCTCAACATTATGCCACCTTTGGGACAGTCGGTTCTCTTGCTTTGTTTCAACTAGTCACATTGGGACCTTTTCTTTAATAAAGTATTCTGTGGTGGGTTTTGTTTGCAGTAAAGATACATGTGGGCAAGCACTCAGAGATGAAAGAAAGGTTACCTGTAACTGTTCTTCAAGATGAGTTGCTTATATATGCGTTAGTGTTGCTTACACTTACATACACTTACACTTACACTTACACTTACAAAGGAGTGCCCTCCTTTGTGAGGCACTTTTGAGACTGAGAGAAAACAAGAGTCTGAGGCACAGGTTGTAAACCAGTGTGAAGAGTAGGTGAGGGAATAGGAC